CGGCTTCTGGATGGGTTAGATCCAGAACAACACAGCACCTCTGACTCTGAGCCAGCTTGTCATCACTAAGATCAATGCGCCTGTTCGCAATGCCTTCAATTGTCTTTATTTGACGCAGATTGGATCGTGGCAATTGCTTCAAAAGTAGATGTTCGGCCGGATAGCATTTGATTGTTTTATATCGAAAAAGTTGTCAAGCACTGGCTCCCACAAACAGGCTGTCTGGAACTGTCCTTAGAATCTTCTCCGCTTGGACGCTTTCTGGTCACTACGCCGCCCTGCGCCTTAGGTATTGCCATTTCACTCTCGAAATTGGAACACGATTGAAAAGAGCAAAGAAGAGCTCTGAGAACAATGCTTTGAAGAGGGTCATCTTTTTGTCCTGAGAGGAAACAGAGCTCGTCATTGATCACCAATTATTCGATTGATTTCAACCCCACTGAGGCTCGCTGAGGGTGCTGCATAGTCTGCTTTGAGAAGTTTGGCTTGCATGTCGAAGGGCTTCCTTATTTCCTGACTCAACTCTCTCCACAATTGACCAGCCTGCAAAGGCATAGACGTGGAATTGGTGTCTTCCATGTTTCTTCACGATAATAACATTCTCACAGTGACGCGGATACAAAACGATGCAAACAAACAGCTCATCTAGGCCCTAGGCACTAGGCAAACAAAATAAACCTGCCTTCTTCGAGACTTCTGAACCCTTTCCAGTCCCCAAAGACTTGGCAATTGCTTCGCGATTTTCACTCAGCCAAAGGAAGTAGGCAGACGAGGGGCGACGTGGCCTGCAGCTTCCAAGCCAGCAGGGCAGCATTTCAACAAAAAAACTTCTAGCTAATGTCCTTGTGCCCTTGTTTCTAGCAGCAATGCCTATATTACTAGTAGCAAAACAGTCCGAGGCTCGAACTGTTCGTTGGCCATGACACCACAGGCACAACACGTAATGCTGCTGGTGATATCTCAATGCTGCAACTGCTGATCCTTTCTCCGAGCTTTCACAAGCTCGTCCCTGTACTCAAATGCAAACCCATGCAACATAGAATGTACTGTACGTGCAGTGTTGGCACTGTCGTGACTTCATGAGGTTTGTGGCATGCAAAGGAATTGGAGGCAGGAACCCTCCATCATGGTATGTTGCCTTATCTTACTGAGTCCAAAGGACTGCAAAAGGGAAAGGTGGAGATGCAAGAAACTGATGGAAACTAGCCTGCTCACAAGAATCCAAGTCTTTGCACACAACTTGGTCTTGGTTTTTGTTGTGCCCAGCACACATCGACTAACACCAGCTTTGCCAGCTGCCTATACATCAAAAGAAATATGCACAAAGGACATGTGGCCTGACTTGACAAGTGCATCAGGCAAGTGTCCTTCATGCAGCCTTTCCAACTTTGGATCTCTCCGAACAACAGCCCTGAAAACGTTGACTGCTTGTATGTTCTTCTGGCCCATAGGGCCGTGCGGTAAGGCGAAATCCACAAGTGTAAAGCTAATGCTCAAGATTTGAAACACTCTTTTCCGCTTTTGAGAATGGAGGCCTTCAAGGATGTCGCTCATCCCTCAGTTCTTGGCAGACCAAAGCCACTTTATAACATTACCTAACTTGTGTTTGGCATCCAATGTACCGGTGTGACCTCTGCGTCTTGGAAGAGAGCCCGAGCTAGAGAACAACACATTGGGATTGGCAAAGGCAAAACAAAACAAATGCTTCTTCGCTGCAGGGGTATACTGCGCTCTCATCATGCACTAGGCTACTTTTGCATGTCATGATCCTGGCTTCACTGAGCCTTTCCGGAAATTATATAAACAAAAATCATCGGTAGTTTCGCCTGCGAGTCACAAAAGGGGCCTCCTTGCATCCACCAGCTTGAAGCGCCGGCAGCCACCCATTGCGACAAAGACCACCTCGTGACGTTTAGGTCTACAAAGAATCTAGAATGCCAGGAGCTACTAGTAGCTTCTTGCTCCTAGTAGCGATGCCCTTTGTTACCAGTAGCTTCTTGTTCCTAGTAGTAATGCCAGGAGCTACGCTTGTAAAGTCCGAACATGTGGGGCATGTAGACCCAAATGAAGGCAAGAATCAGTGCCAGTTAGGAAGGATTGAAGGAACATCAGCATGGCCACATAGATCCAGTCAGGACCTTTTCGGTTGCCAGTCGGTAGGAAAAAAGGTAATCATACAAACAAATACAATCAAGTACATGTATGATTGCTGAGATTGGTCTGTGTATGGCACTGCACAAACAAAAGGAAGAATCAGCTTGCTGCAATCCGGTGGCCACTCGAAGCCCCACGGACTGAAGCCACCATCGCCACCGGCTGTGATGCACTAAATCGATCGCGGAAAGCCATCATGGCGTCCTCCCAGACTCGGTACACACATCTTGACTCGCGGAGGCTCTCGACTTGTAAGTGCCCGGAATGCCATGGTCAGCAAGTTTTATGGGAAGATGGCATCCTTGGGCCTGTTTCTGTTATCCGTTCTTTTAACTAACATCATGCCAGAAGCTCAAATGCCTTGAAAAGAGCAACTTAGCAGCTACTTGCTAGATTCAAAATGCTGAGCCTGAAGAGACTGGCTTGTTGAAAGTGTTGAGAAAGTGCGGGCCTCTCTGAGGATTTTGGCCACGAGCTGAAAATCTGGAGAGCCTGCTCCACTGACTGCATCCCAGCCCCGAGCAGCGCCAAATCCAACTGGGCAACAGGTTGAACGAGAGCAGCGATTGTCACCGATCTGGATGTCATTGAAAGCACTTGGATGCCTTGATAGAATTTCATAGATCAAAGGATTCAAAAAACCCAGCGGGGGCAATCGATTCTGCAGGCGGTCTTCATTCCACCGTGCCACCATAGCTGCAATGAGAGGAGTTGAGGCAGAGGTGCCAGACATGGCCTCAAGCTCTTCTCCCATGAGCACGAGGTAATTGCTGGAAATGGCGGCCAAATCAGGGAACCCACGACCGGAGCGATTGAACATCAACTGATCTTGGCCAGGGACTGGACTATCCTTTTGTTGGAGATAGTGCTCCACAGCTTCATGTTGATACCATGGTCGCAGAAAATCAGAAGAAAATCCACCTCCTGATGTGATTCCTCCCCCTTTGTCTGATGTACAAACAACTTCTCCATCCTGGGCACATTGCACCATCACATTCTCCGATGTATAACCACAAACAGGCACATTCTCTTGGGCAAGTTGAGTTCCACCTACCGAAGTCACCCAGGGCGACGAAGAAGGAAACTCTTCTCTGTTTCGACCGCAGTACTTCTTCCCATCCTTGGCCACAAAGTTTCCACTGACACCATCATCCCCACTGGCAACGAGAACTGTGATGCCTCTGAGAGCAAGCTTCATGAACTCGTCATTGACCCTCCGCTTAAACCAGAGTGGCATGGTCAAGGCATCGTCAGAGTAAGACACCGAATGGACAAGTGGAATAGCTTCATCCTCCGTGTCTTCCAACTGCATCAGCCAATCGAGGAAAGGTTCTTGACGCGTTGCCAGCTCAATGGAGGGAACGCTCCAAAATATGGTGGAAACATTTGCCGCCAGCGATGTGATGTATTGGATATCGAGCTGTGCCTCGCCTCCAAGAACAGAGCCTGCCATTGGTTCATTCTCTCCTATGAGGCTCAACTTCCGCCTTGTTCCCCATTCTCGAACTCCCATCAGCTTGAAAAATGCGTCCAAGTCATTGGGATTGTAGTACTGCCCCAGGAACTCGGCAACAGAGATACTATTGCGCGGATGGCGAACAGGTTCATGCATCGGAATGTTGTAGTTTCGAGAAAGCAACGAGGGCGTGGTGTAGGCCATTGGCCAAATTGGTAAGACTTCGTTCGGGTCACTGAAGTCTGAAACTGATCCATCTGAAAAAAGTGATCGGATCCTCACAGTAGTGCTGGCGTAGTTTTGAATATTGCCGAGTGTCGCATTAAATTCCATGCAGCTTTGATTGTCTTTGGTCTTGGCGATCTTCTGGCCAAGGGTGTCTGGAACAGCAGGAACTCTGACAAGCTTTTGCCAGTTTGTCGCCGTTTGCAAGACTAGGACATCAAAGGCAGTGATGAGCAAGGAATGTGGGCTGTTTTTGCAAATTCCATTCTGAACTGTGTCTTGGTTGACAATTTTGTCCTTGCAATAGGCCACAAAGTGCACACTGATGAACTGATCACCTGCTGCAATCACAGGGCGAACACGAGGTGCAGTTCTTCCTGAGCGGTTGTAAAGGAAGGGCCCTACTTTTCTCTGCATTGGATGTGGAGGCATGAAGAGTGGAGCATTCAAAGAGGTCCCCTCCAAGGCCTTCTGAATGTGCTCGGGCAAACGGATTGGCTCTGAAGCTCGGATGGCAGTGGTTCCCGGCGCCGGCTTTGCTTCTTGGATCCGTAGAGTTGTACTGAAGACCCTCTCAACACATCCAACCGTACAGCTATACCTGGCAAAGTCCTTGCCAAAAGAAAACTCAAACTTCCCAGGTAGTTTGCTAAAGAATTCTTCCACGATATCTGCATTGTAAGCCGATGAGCCCGCTATGCCATAGAGCTCATCCCTTTCGAGATATCTGCCATACTCCGGGCTGTTGGGATCTGAAACTGCTCTTGCCTTGCGCTCCAGCAAATCCAAATTTCGCTGCCGCAGCGCCAGCAATACAATGATGCCTAGCAACATCTCCGAGAAGCTCCTACAACCCCACTAATAGTCGCTAGTCCTACAAGCCAGCACCTGGTAAACTCCGAGTACAAAATTGTCTTTTGTCATGTAAGTTGCAACTTGCCTTTATCCCTCTTTTCGCTCAGTCACTCGTGTTCTCATTTGGACGGTCTCCAGGCTGCCAGCCATTTTGTGAGTATGCTGCCCAACGTTCATCTGATAAGGCAACGCCAAGCGTGGCCTCAGTTGAAGGTCTGGAGTCTGGAGCCAGGTTAGATCCAGCTATAGCAATCGGACTCAGATGCAAGGAAAACTCAGGAACATGTTTTCAATTGGTGACTCTCATCAAGCAAACAATAATACATAATAATACAGTATGTACTCTATCTAAGACAGTGGAAAGCAAGTGACCCTACGTCTTAAGTCAATAGCACCACAGACTGAGCTCAAGGCCACTAGGATCACTAAGGCTCTCCATGTCATGGCTCCGGTGCTCATGGCTCTAAGACAGCAAACAGTTGAAGCACACGTGACTTGGCACTTTCCAGTTGTGTGACAATGTGGTTTCTCATGGTCCGAGTGCTACTATGATCTACTATGGTGTGAATAGCTCTTCAGAGACTCCAAGAACTTTTGTACTGCGGGGAAACGCACCCGTCTAAGATTTGGCACAACAAAGGCTGCTTTGCAGAACCTCTGCAACATTGGTGCCGAACAAGGCTGACGCGTCTGACGCATCTGCCTCGAAAAATATAAAAGTTGCGGCTGCAATCCTTTCGGATCCTTTCGCAATAAAATGCTATAAGTACAAGTACAAATCATGGAAACAAAAAGAAACTCTGGTAATTACAGTATGTTCTTTTGTTATATTTTGGTTATATAGTCTGTTTACAGGGGTTTGGTCTTGGACGTTTCAACGCGACCCCTTTAGCTATTGCTGCAATTGCTTCGCTCACGGTCCCAACTTTCAAGTCGAACCCTTCGCTCACTCCGTCTCCGGCTGCGTGGGCTCAACTGGACGCCATGAGAACTTGACCTGGCGCGGATGCAAGTCCAACAGATCCAACAAGTACAACAGTCCCAAGCGAGCATATGAGGTTGTATACAAGAGTACATGATACGAATGGTATGTGAGGAGTTTGGTGTACATTGGCTCTGCACCTGGGAGTCCATGATCACCATCAAGGACCACCAAAGTATGATCAGTGATTGCCGCAAAACAGTGAAAGGGTGCCCAAAGGAACAAAACTTGTGTGGTCTCCTAGGTTGGAGGCCATCGCTATTAGGTTCCTTTTGCTATTAAGTGCAGCCTGGGAAGGTCGAAGTGGTCGACAATATGCTGGTGCCGTCAACGGTTTGTAGCTGGCTTGGTAGGTGGTCCTTCGCAGACTCCGCCACAACAGGTTCCAACGACAAAATGATAGGAGATCCTGAAAGCTCCCTTTGCTCCAAAGCAAGGCCCCAGATTGTCCTGCCATCTTGCTCTGAAATCGTAGTCAACAGAACTTGAGACCTAGAGACCTAGAGGTGACATAAACATTTATCTTGCTCTTTCAAGTATCCATTGAGCACTCCTTGACAGTCCAGTGTGCAGAAGTTTCCAACAGGTCGATGGGGAGGCTTGCATGCCCAAGATGAGATGCAGACCTACAAAGCAAAGCACCTTCGGTCCATCAGTGGTTCCCCATGACGACCCTCCTCGTTTCAGAGCTCTTTGATGACCCAAAGCCAAGGGAGTCTTCTGCCCTGTCGAAGGGAAACCAGTAGAAAATGATTGAAATTGCTTTCATACGTTTCTCAGTCTGACCGACTTGGCAAACGGGGCCTGCGATACTCTGGCACACCTGGGCGCAATCGCCTCAGCTTTCACAACACATCACCTTGAGGCCCTCAAGAAGAGATCTGAATCTGAGCTATCCACGCATGGCGCAAATCCTGCCTACTAGGCGCAGTGAAGGCCTGCAGTGAAGTGATGCTGAAACAGTTGAAACTATTTGAAACGATGTACATATATTATATATTATATATCTATTATATATAGTTATATATTTATATCTATATAAATGACAGGAAATATATAATTGATCAAATGGATCAGTTTGAACTCCTTGCTGTTCATGGCTAACTCCCTTGTCTCGGAGTAGCTGCTACTGCCAAGCGTCACGGCCAGTGGAGGCTTCGTTGACCTCTGAAGGATTGCATTCTGGCGCTGTTGACCGAAGATTCTCATGTCTGTCCCTTCGGTCTCGTATGACAGAGTCTGATGGCAGTGCCTGTTGCCATCTCTGAACGATTCTGCAAGCTGCCGATTGATGCCTACAGGCTCTTTGCCGTTGTAAACACCGGTCTAAAATGGTCTAAACATGATCATCTAAACGTGTGCATCTATTTTGCTCTTGGTCCTCTACACAAGAGTTTTAAGCTGTGCAGCACACCTGCTCCAAGGAGTGGGTTCTCTTTGAAGTTGTAGGTATACTCGCACATGTTGCGGTTGTGCCTAAATCAGTAGCATCAAACAGAGTATGGGAAGGATGCTCCAGTGCTTCAGCTCTAGCAATTCAAAGGCAGCCTCTTCTTGGCGAGTGTCCGCAATTTAGCCTGTTCCCTCCATCAAACTAGGTTACATTACTGATACATGTTCGTCAAACATGCAACTTTCGGAACAGCTTAGGCGTGCTAAGGCATCTGGCAATTCTGCAACTTTCAGCTGAAGCCCCGCATGCAAAGTTCCTCGTTTCAGGACAAGAAACCCCAGCTCTGACGCAGTCATGACATCTCCGTACAGCAAGTCTGAGCCTCTGGCGCCTCTCACCGATGCAATGTATTTCACCCAGGGATTGTGTACCTTGGCGTGCCACATAATTTATCAAGATCTTTGTCCATGCCAAATAAAAAACTAGACGACGAGTGGCCCGAAAACATTTTTCATCACGTGTGAAGTCAGAGTGTGAGTTATGTGTTAAGTGTTCAGCGTGAAGTGGAGTGTGTTGAGGCAGTGTGTGGGTCTCTGTGTGTGTGTATCTATGTCTGTGTGTGTATGTGTCTCTGTCTGTATGTCTTTCTATGGTGTGGGTGCAAGTGATGATGATGTTTCTGTATGTCTTTCCACGTACATCGTGTGAACAATGTTTCTCAATCTGTGGGTCTCTGTGGCCCCAAGGACACAAAGCTGTAACTCCCTCACCGGCGGGCAAGGGGCGACAGCTCCGCTCAAGGTCGCAAGCATTCGAGCTGCTGGGGAAATGGTGAAGGTCTTCACTGTAGATATAGTGAACCAAGTAGCGCGCAGGCCTCCCAAACCCTCCACCGGCGGCCAAGCGGTGACAGCTCAGCTCATCTTCGAGAGCATTTGAGCTGCTGGTAAAGGGAAATAGTAAAGCACGTGGCTCTTCTGTCTGGGAGCCCGGACCTCGCTGAAACGCTACATCCACCTCAGAATGTCCATTCCTTGAGAAGCAGGGTTCACGCCTCCAGGAAATCTCACCGAACAAACCAAGCTGGAATGAAAATAGAAAATTGCTGAGGCAGCTACGCAACAAGTTTGGCGAAGCAGTGACCTGTGGCTCAGGAGCGCCAACCCTGGTGTATTTCTCTTCCAGCTTCCCAGATACTCCGCGTACTAAAGTGGTACTACCAAGTCGCCAGGTCTCATCTTCTAGCTCCCCAGATACTCCGCGCACTGAAGTTATACTACCCAGTCGCCAGTTCTCATCTTCCAGCTCCCCAGATGCTCCGCGTACTAAAAAGTTGTACTACAAAGTCGCCAGTTCTCATCTTCCAGCTCCCCAGATACTCCGTGTACTAAAGTTGTACTACAAAGTCGCCAGTTCTCAGCTTCCAGCTCCACAGCTTGCTCCGCGTACTAAAGTTGCATTAGAAAGTCGCCAGTTCTCATCTTCTAGCTCCCCAGATACTCCGCGCACTGAAGTTATACTACCCAGTCGCCAGTTCTCATCTTCCAGCTCCCCAGATGCTCCGCGTACTAAAAAGTTGCACTACAAAGTCGCCAGTTCTCATCTTCCAGCTCCCCAGATACTCCGCGCGCTACAGTGGTACTACCCATGTCGCCAGTTCTCATCGTCCAGCTCCCCCGTTACTCCGCGCACTAAAGTTGTACTACAAAGTCGCCACTTCTCATCTTCCAGCTGCCCAGCTACTCCGCGTACTCAAGTTGTACTACAAAGTCGTCAGTTCTCAGCTTCAAGCTCCACAGCTTGCTCGCTCCCCAGATGCTCCGCGTACTAAAGTTGTATTACAAAGTCCCCAGTTCTCAGCTTCCAGCTCCACAGCTTGCTCCGAGTACTAAAGTTGTACTAGAAAGTCGCCAGTTCTCATCTTCCAGCTCCCCAGATACTCCGCGGACTCCAGTTGTGCTACAAAGTCGCCAGCTTCCAGCTCCCCAGATTGCTCCGCGTGTTCTCATCTTCCAGCTCGCCAGATACTCCGCGCACTAAAGTTGTACTCCAAAGTCGCCAGTTCTCAGCTTCCAGCTCCGCAGATTGCTCCGCGTACTAAAGTTGTACTACAAAGTCGCCAGTTCTCAGCTTCCAGCTCCACAGCTTGCTCCGCGTACTAAAGTTGTAATACGCGCGCGCATGGGACAAATCGCACTCTCGCCTGCCTTTCGCGCGCTCGACACGCACGATCTCCGCAGAGGGTTGCGCGGGCACCGACCAAATCGCACTCTCGCCTGCATTTCGCGCGCTCGACACGCACGATCCCCGCGCTACCGTTCAAGTCGCGCTCTCGCCTGCATTTAATTACGCGCGCTCGGCACGCACGATCTCCGCAGAGGGTTGCGCGGGCGCCGACCAAATCGCACTCTCGCCTGCATTTCGCGCGCTCGACACGCAGGATCTCCGCAGAGGGTTGCGCGGGCGCGGACAAGTCATGCTCTCGCCTGGATTTCGCGCACTCGACACGCACGATTTCCGCAGAGGGTTGCGCGCGCCACGGACAAATCGCACTCTCGCCTTTCGCGCACTGGACGCGCACGATCTCCGCAGGGCACCCGGATCATTTTGGAACCCAGAAACGGATCATTTTGGAACACGGATCACTTTGGAACACAGAGGAAAAGAAAACTTTCCGGGACTGCAGTCTGACACCAGCTTCGCGGATCATTTTGGAACACACATCCTTCGGTAGTGCTTCGAAGGCATCATTTGCTAGTGAAAAATGAGCGTTTCGTACGAGACTTCCTCCAAAAGTGAGCCGCGCAAGTCTCCAGAACGAGCGTTTCGTAAGACTTCCTCCAAAAGTGAGCCGCGCAAGTCTCCAGAACGAGCGTTTCGTAAGAGACTTACAAAAGTGAGCCACGCAAGTCTCCAGAACGAGCGTTTCGTATGAGACTTTTTGCAAAAGTGAGCCACGAGACTTCCTCCAAAAGTGAGCCGTTGGGTTTCTTTTGGTTTGCCTTAGGGCCTTGCTTCTTTAGGATGTCTTTGGGTTGGACTTAGGCCTTCACTTGAGGGACTTAGGGCTTCACTTATTTAGGGTCTCTGGTTGGTTTGGCTTAGGGCTTTGCTGCTTTACAATGTCTTTGGGTTTGACTCAGGGCTTCACTTCTTTAGGGTCATTTTTGGTTCTGCTTAGGGTTTCACTCCTTTGGGGTCTCTTTTGGTTTGGCCTAGGGCTTTGCAGCGTTAGGATGTCTTAGGGCTTCACTTAGGGCTTCACGTCTTTAGGGTCTCTTTTGGTTTTGCTTAGGGCTTTGCTCCTGTAGGGTCTCTTTGGGTTTGGCTTCGGGCTTCGCTCCTTTAGGATGTCTTGGGTTTCACTTAGGGCTTCACTTCTTTAGGGTCTCTGGTTAGTTTGGCTTAGGCTTTGGTGCTTTAGGCTGTCTTTGGGTTTGACTTAGGGTTTCACTTCTTTTGGATGTCTTTGGGTTTGACTCAGGGCTTCACTTCTTTAGGGACTGTTTTGGTTTTGCTTAGGGCTTCACTCCTTTAGGATGTCTTGGGTTGGGTTTCACTTAGTGCTTCACTTCTTTAGGATGTCTTTGGTTGTGACTTAGGGCTTCACTTCTTTAGGGTGTCTTTTGGCTTGCCTTATGGCTTCACTTCTTTAGGATGTCTTTGGGTTTGACTCAGGGCTTCACTTCTTCAGGGTCTGGCTTGGTTTTGATTAGGACTTCAGGGCTTCACTTCTTCAGGGTCTGGCTTGGTTTTGATTAGGGCTTCGCTCCTTTAGGGTTTCTTTTGGTTTGGCTTACGGCCTTGCTTCTTTAGGATGTCTTTGGGTTGGACTTCGGCCTTCACCACTCCCCCCAAAAAAAAAACTTACCAGAAGCCACTCCCCGGAAACCACTTCCCAGAAGCCACTTCCCAGAAACCGGTCCCTAGAAACCGGTCCCCAGAAACCACTTCCCAGAAACCACTCCCCAGAAACCACTTCCCAGAAACCACTCCCCAGAAACCACTCCCCAGAAACCACTTCCCAGAAACCACTCCCCAGAAGCCACTTCCCAGAAACCACCCCCAAGAAACCACTCAGAAACAACTTCCCAGAAACCACTCCGCAGAAACCACTTCCCAGAAACCACTTCCCAGAAACCGGTTCCCAGAAGCCAGTTCCCAGATTCCCAGAAACCACTTCCCAGAAACCACTCCCCAGAAACCGCTCCCCA